TTGAATACTCACCTTCATCTTTCAACGAACGTAACACCTCACTTGCCATTTTTGAGGCTTTATCGCCTGAACGAAGTTCGTCAACCATTGATATGCTTTTGAATAGATCTAGTCTAAATTTTTTAAGTTTACATTGCTGTCCAATTGAACCCACCAGCTTTTTGATACGATACTTAAAAACGTTTGGAGTGATTAATTTCGAATCGATCATTGCAAGCATCTAAACTGTGGGAAATGAATTGAATTGATCTCGAAAAGCTACCTGCTTGGCCAAATCATATTCCAGATCTGTTGGATTGAAAAAGTAACACACGACCCTCTTTTCTTTTCGTCTTTTCGTCTTTCCTTTGAACGTAAATTGAGCCAGATGTAAAGTGGATTCAGGTCTGATGAGTGGATGGTTATCCTCGTTCTTCCTCGGCTTCTTGAAGCTAGAAAAGTAAGACTACGATATTTGAAAGTAAACTTATTGCATATCGCTACTTAATGTGGCAATTTTATTTCTCGATAATATTTTTAGAGCCGATAGCCGACTTTTAACAAATTTTTTAGGCATCAGTAACCCGTTTAAGTTTCAAATTAATGAGTTGAACAATTTATTGGAGAACACACAAAAAAGAAACAACAATAGCAAGAAAATTAGAAAAAATCATTAGCCTTTCAATCTTGAGGAATCATGAAGAATTCTTAGCTGGAGGTTTCCATCTTTCAAGCTTGAAATTCAATGGAGCTACATACTTACTTTCGATCGTATTTACCGTTTCGATCGTATCGTATTTACTTTCGAGGCCAGAGTTCTTCAGTTGTCAAGCAAAAACAACCAATATTCATTTCAGCGGAAACTGAAAACGAAAATTGCTACAAAACAACAATGATTTGAGGCAAGAAATAGAATGAGGACGCAAAGATTTCCGCAATAATTTACCAATATTCAGACTACCAGGATTAGAGAACCTTTTTAGTGGCTTTTCCCCACAGTATTGCCTTTTTCAGTCATTTTCGAAATGGCAGGCTCTTTGTGAAAAGTAATTCGTTTGAGTGATAGTTCTTTGATTGAAACTAAAGTCGATTCTCGTTGATCTCTATTATAAAGGCCTTTAGCCACTGTCGTCACTATGCTTGACTCATTATTTTTTGATTTCGTTTGATGGGGCTGGATTTAAGTGGAGATGAGGAATCCTCATTGTGGATACTCCTCCTCCAATTGACAGAGTTCCGAATAGAAAAGGACAAAATAGATAAATGAATAAAATAGATAAAATATTAGACTGGCCGATAAATTCGTAGAAATTATTTATCTGAAAATATAGCTGAAATCGCCAACCTCGGAATACCCCTGGACTGCATTAATTAGGATTGAATGATCCTTGATATCATATTCTGGATATTTGCGATTTTAGGCGCTTCTCACCTCGCCGAGTAATTGCATGGTCGTCACTCCGGGTTCCATCCGCTTTGCTCCCATTTTTAGTCCGTTTGGCCACTTGGAGATTTTCGTCGGGCTATAACGACATCAGGGAAATATTTGACTCGAAGAGTTTTCTTTGTCATCAATTTATGATTTCTTAGTTAATAAACGTTTTTAGTAATTCTGTATCACGATAAAGTTACATATTCGCAAGCATTCCCCTCAGAGACAATAGGCCTCAGACATCATCGAAAACCATAAGCTCATAGACAAGCTTCAACGAAAAGAAGCGATCGCTTTTCTTTCTTTCTTACATTTTTTACGCTTACAGGTAGAATCAATATTTCACCGCTTTACATTTCTGTGTTCTTTCGAACTCGACTCTCAGCTCATTTTGGAACCTAATCAACTCGCTAGTTGAGTCTTGAAATTCTTATGCTTTTTGTCAACTTCTTGTTGCTGCTCTTTAAAACTTGTTGATTACATATTTTAACAGAGCATCTCCCCTATCATCAAGTTCACAATCTTTCTTACTAAGCTTTCTGTCAAATGGTTGTAGGTATGTGAACCTTGAGATTTGTTGCGAATCCTGCTCGCCAATTTTGTTGTGTAGATGGTCTTAGCTTCAGGCAACTTGATCACTTTGAATCTCGGGTGATTTGGTGTCTTGATAATTGTGTTAGATTTATTCAAGAAACTTCAATCAAAGCCGACCTTTGTCCCTTGGCCCTTCTCTCTTAACCCATTGACCAACCTTCAATTTTTCTTCATTAGGGAGGTGTCAATTGCAAATTCGATATTTTCCCCTGATCCCCGGTCCCGATGATGATTAATCCACTTACTCCCCTCTCTAAAATACTAGACCTCAGTACCTTTATGAAAAGGGAAAATATTTTCAGAGTGAACTTTTTAACTCACACTTTTTAACTTTTTAACCTGAACCTAAGCCAACATCTGTCGCATCCGTAACGATAGGGTTTCTACCGATTCTTCGACTGGTTTGAATCAAATGAATCCTGTAACTAAAAACCGAATTTCAGACGCTCTGTCTACTGGCCTTTTGCCATCTCGTTGAGGAATTACGGTAAACTTAGAATTAAATAGCTTGGGCTGACAATAAGAGATTTTTCAGTGGCGGTGGCCGAATCAGTGTGCCGCGAAGTAGGGTGAATCGTCCGGTCAAAGTCCCCAGACTCGAAAGAAAACCCAGGTTTTCCAGTCAATTAAAGTCACTCAAAAGCACCCAATTGCAGTGAGCCGAAACCCTTCCAATTGCCACTTCCGAATAAAGGACAACGTTCAGCCATGACGACGCAGCTAAGATCCCGGATATCGACAGAATCACGATCAATATGTGTAGTGTCAAACAGACAACAAGAAATAGTAGTTCATTACTTTCTAGATCAAAATAAACCGGCAAAGAAGGATACAACTCGATTCACTACCCGGCAATCAATGAGTGGGTGATTTGAAGAATCTGGCTCGAAAACCCAAAACTCACAGAAAGCCCTCTGCTCATCTTTTGCCTCCACGTGCCAACGACTACTCGGCTACCGGAAATCCCCTCGAGAAATTGTGAGTCGATCCGTGCAATTACATGGACATCAATGACCCTAACGGTCGTATTCACAATTCTCTTCTCCAGATTGCCAAAACATTTGCCGGAGACCTAAGAAAAATTTCATTAGTTTCGACCATTCGCAGAGTGATCAAGCCAAATTTTGCCGATGACCTCAAGAAGAATCCGGCTCCGATTGGTGGCAGAGTGCTACCGGATGGCCAGCGAACCTTCAAGAATAGTGACGAGTACAGCCGTCAACTGCCCGAGATTCCTGGATATCGATACGTTAGGTTTCTTTGAATGTGGGTAAGCTTCAGCCTATCTATTCAATCTAGTCGTGTATCGGGTTCCGGACATCGTGACGATCGCATTGAGGGCTTCGGGTTCAAAGCGGCTGGTCGTCCTGTTGTGATTCCCGTCAAATCCGAGCACATCTATCAACATTCGGATTTGGGACACGGGGACAAGCACCGCTTAAGTCAGTTCTCCAATGCTTTTAACCAGGGGGCAAAGCACACTATCGTTCGCTTTGCCCGCTGGCTGGTCCGGAGACCCGTGAAAGTCTGGAGATCGTAGGATCCATACATACATGCAAGTTGTACGTAGCAACAACGATATCAAATTTAGATCCCCCGAGATCTGTTGCACCCGGAAAAAACGTCCTGGCGATAAAATGGGTCACATTCGACCTAAAGCCGAAGGAGGCTCCGGAAAGGTCCACAACATTTTCTCCGAAGATGGACCGGTCAGTGAAATTAATCTTGACATGCTCATTTTGACATCAGTTGAATCAAGGACCCGGCGCGAGGATGGAAGCCGGAGCTCGCCAAACACGGAAGTATAATCCCCAAAACTCGGTTTTTGTGACGGTTGAAGAGAATCTATCTAGATCAGACCCAAACTATTTAGCATCATTTCGACGTGGGTGCCGGAGAAAATCAGTTCCGAGCTTCCGGATTCAAGTGGGTTGACACGTCTAGAGATTATTTAGTAGAAATGCGTTCTTGACCCACTGGCAACATCTAGATATCAAATCGAATCGCACAAACACGGCGAGCACAGCGTCGATTCGGGATACTTCAAGAATGGCGACTTCTAAAGAAAGTGATTGATGATCATTGTTCCAAAGCATCCTTTTCCTTACCATCATTTATAACTACCCGCAATAATAAAGTTCTCATTCAAACCCACACGGGTTTCTGTCTTTTGTGATCCCCATCAAAACTTTGTTCTATTTAGAGTTCTTCTGAATCTTTAGGCACTTGAGCTAATCTGCAAAATGATAACAGATTGATCGCCTATCGATCGAACCACGGAACGCCGAGCTTTCGGTCTATGCCGTTATTCTATTTAATTTGGACTAATAGGGACTCCTTTGATTGAAAAGAGATCTTTGTGAAACTCAAAGCGATTCTCGAACAGCATCTCTTTCGCCGTATCTCTTCACTCGCTACTCGTGCTTCAAACAAATAAACAAATCAAACAGAAACAGATGTACAAAGAAATTAGCTACATGTAACTCTTCGCAAACGTCGCTGAGAACATCACGAGGCAAATGAATGGGGAATTTCGAATGAAATCCATTTTGATTGCTTTCAGTTTGACATCACTAAGGGGCACCTTACAGAACCAACAGTGAGTCGAAAAAAAAGCATAAATCGAATTTTTGAGAACTTCAGGAACAAAAATCAAAGACAAATCGACGAGTTGAGGGACGAGAAGAGCGACCTTCACGAAGAATTGTCAGTTTCCTCCTGCTGATGTCTATTGATGTTCAACACGTTTGTCTAATAGTCTATTCAGGAGCGACGAGAGAGCAAAATACTTGCAGCTTTAGGCGGAATTCTGGCAAAACTTTTATATGAGATTTTGAAGAAAAAATTCGGAAATAAAGAAAAAGATAATGTGCAGTTGTGTGTTTTCAGAAGAATGAATAAAATAGGATTTATTGGTTTTTCTTCACAAAAAAGAACATAAGACATTTATCAGAATTCAGAGTCCCTTTTGCAGATAAATTGAAACTCCTCGTTAGGAGGATCGACCCCCCCATTTCCCCTTGTCGTTCCAAAGCTGAAATGCATTTCTGATGAAAATCCTTTGATAAAACACTTTGCGTTATTTCACAAAAAGAAATTTGCTCAGATCGATCAAAACATTTTGCGATTAATTCTGCATTGGAAATTGGAATAAGTATCGATGATTTCCCCCTGAAAATCTCACCACAGCGTGGGTGTACGAATCCGGCTCTCCCACCATCCAATTCGTGAAATCCACCGAACTTCCATCCGTCCATTCAAAAGCATTTCCTTTGTCCGGATTTCTCTGAATAAAGAAATTTTTATGTTTAACCTTGATATTTCCATCTTTTTTAAAACTACTCTAGTTTCCCAATTGAAACATTATTTCTATCAAAGAACTATCAATCAAAGAGCTCATTTTTTCCGAAAATGGCTGAAAGGATCTTTACTTTCTATTTATTTATGTCTTTCAATAAGAAAAGTTCAACCTTCAGTCCTATCCAGAACGACCGATTCGCAGGAAAATTTTTCGCTGAAATAAATATCGGTTGTTTTTGGTTTATAAAGCATAAACTTGTGTGAAAATCATAAATTTTCAGAATTGAATCATTTCGATTTCTTACCGAGTTTCCAAACAAAATCGTTCTCTTCCTGACTGTGAATTGAGACTAAATGGCCCTTTCGACTCGCACAATATGCCTCGGCTTCATCAAATGTCATCCATTGACCAAAACCCTTGAGATGAAGATAATCCTGGTTCACCACATCCACCAACCTTATACCAAGAAGCCGTTTTCGCCAAATACGACCATCCATCCCGATACAGATCCAAGAGATTCATCGTCCGATTTCTGAATTTCTTCGAAAAACCTTACTCCAAACTTTGCAAAGAAATACTCAATCCTTTTTCTTAAACGCATAAATCTGCCCGCAACTTCCTGATTTTGGCCGTTTTTTCCCTTTCATTGTCTAGAGAGGAATTAATTGGCTTAAGTGGAATGGGTGTTTTGGGAGTCAAAAAACTGTTTTATACCAAGATATACCAAATGAACTCACATTTGGGTTTCGAGGCCAGAGATTTTGCTCTGGAACGCGTTGATTTTCCCTTCAAGCTCTCCAATCTTGACTTTTCCGTCTCTCACTTCCGTATTTTGAGTTCTTCTGAAAAAAGTTCGCATTTTAACTATATATTGAGCTTGTCAGAAAAGAAAGTCACAAAATTAGTACAATTGTGCCTCGAGATCGTCGTTCTTCCTTTTCATCTCGGCGATTTTCCTTTCGAATTCTCGATTTCTCTCCCTTTCGTCAACCAAATCGGCCTCCAACTCCGTGATTTTCAAATTCGCCTCGATTTGAACCATGTTTGCTGCCAATTGGCGCATCTCGACGTCTTTGTCCTTTTTGATTTCTTCCCTAAACTCTTCGATTAAATTAAAGACTCTTTTGGATAGCAGCAAAGATTCGGCGAACAACCCACAAATCGGCTTCGAGTTGAGCGATTTTCTTCAACGAGATGGCCGGTTCTTCTATTGACAGTCTTTTCAGGCAATTCTGGAGTCATTTCGGGCATTTCTGGAGATTTGGAAAAAGAAGAGACGCTCTGAAGAGAGCGAGGAGGAAGATTCGAGAGATCGTCCATTTCGTTTGCTAGACAATTGGTTCACTACAAAATGACTGAATTTTCTTGAAGAACAAGTGAAAATTAAAGGAAACAGCTACTAAAGAGGCATAATTGATGAGAAAAGATAAAATCAAACAAGAAATTCGGTGCCAAGCAAAATAGCGATTTCTTACCACGGAAAATAAAGAGAAAGGAGAGGAATGCCCGATTTACAAACTAATTAACGATTTACAAATGACAGGGAATTTCACTTTGAAACGGCTCAATGTGACGATTTTTTTTTTGGAAAGATGAGCCGTAATGGTGTTCGTTGAGAACAGGAATTGATTCTCCAATCGTCCGTATTTGTTGTGCTCCTCGAAAGAGATTATCAAATGATTTCGATCGATTCCCCCAGAACCTTCGATACAGATTCTGTCCAATTTTCGGAGAAACAAACATTTGTGTTGAGATCGGTGGCTTTCTTCTTCTCCAAGAACATTTCCATTTCCAAGGAAATTAAAAAAATCGTTGGCCTCTCAGTCTTGAGGAATCATGAAGCATTCTTGAAGAATTCTTAACAAAACCGTGCTTTCTTTATTTTCAAAAGTAGCCTAAAATAAAAAATAGTCTAATACTTTTGAAGCAAACTTGAAATTCACGTTTCAGCCGACAAAAACGCTCGCAGAGAAGTCCATAAAACCTTTCATAAGTACGTTGCTGTGCACAACAATCAACGAACATGTGAATGAGTTCCGGCTAAAATGAAAAAAATGTGGCTCTTCTCTATTACTAGGTACCTTAAAATTTAACAAAAGCGTGTTCCACGGTTAAAGTACCTAGTAATTGGAAAGAGCCAAAAATGTTTTATATTCTATCAATAAGACCAACCTCCAATTCTGGCTTGACACCCACTTTGAGAAGTTTGTGAGCGGCCCCTTAACAGTCGAGCGATGTCAAGTAAACTTCGCGACGGAAAGCAACGAGATTTTGCTCAGTGTTGTCAACGATTTCCATTTGTTGAGGTTGAGCTGAAATAAGTATTTAAATATTGCCTTAGATTCGTCTGAAGTTCCATAAAATTTAAATCGATAAAATTGAATGTCTACCGTTTGCAGCTGCCTCATCGTCACCTTCTTCATCCTCCTCTTCTTCTGATTCCTCTTCACTTTCACCGGCGTGACCAATGATTTGTTCACGGTTCTTGTTGCAGGCAGCTTCATTTTTCTCAAAATCGGGATCCAATTTGAAAATGTCTGTAAAGCTTGTTTGAAAACCTAGTTAATCCCAAATAAATTTTTTAGGTAGGTATGTGTAATTTGGTCCTCTTCCGAAAGAAGATCGAGTTGATCAATTAAAGCTGTGTAGTCCTTCAAGAATAAACTTTGCCAGGCAATAGAACTAAAAACTGACCTCAAATCTCTCTCTTATCTCTCCGAATTGCCATTGCAGTTTCAATCATATAACGAATACGTGAATCCAATTGCGCCTCAGCCAGAATGTTTCGAAGTCTTGAGAAAACATTGTCCAAGGCACGCGGGGCAATCTAACAAATCATTTCTCAATAAGCGCTTCTAAATCATGCAAACCCCTGTCAGTTTCGCGACACATTCTTTCAGAAAAGCAATACACACTTCCACTGAATCTTCCGTTGGTGTTTGAAGCACCAAAAGCATGATCTCAAGAGCAAGCAAATCGTGAGCCTAAATATGCATCGAATTCATATTCAAAGAAAAACAGCATACCACTTGTTGACTGATCAAATGTGCGAGAAATTTACTGACAGTCACCGTTGTTGCTTTGTCGTTTCGACGAGAAGATCGCTTGAACTGCACAATCAAACGCCTAAATACATAATTTCTAAAGCCTAAAACTGTGAAACATACTTAAGTGTCCATTCACCAATAACAGGAAACTTGGAATTAATCGCTCCAACCAAACCAGCTTATACATGTGAAAATGTTGGAGAAAAGGCTTGTGCTTGAATTCTCGATCGAGTCAGCAAACCCCAAAAATTTTGTTTACTTGAGAAAATGCTAAAAAAACAAACTTTCCACGGATAATGTTTTCTGGAAGAAGCTCTCGCACAATTCCGAAACAACATTGCTGGCGTTGATTTTATTGACGAGACCGTGGATCTTTTTCTTCAGACGCTCCCAATCCTATCGCTGAAATTGCTCACCCGATTTGTCCTAAATTTTTTCTGTGGCCACGTTACCATTTGAAGCATTACCTGGATTTGTTCTTGCATCGACTTCAGCTTCGCTGGTGGGATGTATGCGCCTCCCGTGCGAGAACGCAATAAATCAAAAGACTCTTTCTTTTCCTAAAATGTATTTACTCCAACAAAGTTTTCTTGTATACTTTTTGAGGAGCTTCATTTTCTTTTGCCTTTTCTGGTGATTCATCACGTCGAGCACGTTTTGGCGTTAGTGACCTCTGAATCACTAATACTGAATGCAACCCAGGTTAAAAAACTAACAAAATTCAGAACGTACCTCTCCAAACTAGCTTTAAGCTATGCCATAAAAACTTTACGAAAAGGCAACCCCACCTGGACATTCATGTAATCGTCGACCGAGATGAGGACGCCTCGATATTCCATTCCCCACTTCAATCTGCACACAACTGGCTTTCCGGCGAGGCCATTGAGGAATGGTTTTGGGTTGACTGGTTGAACAGATATTCTCTGAAAACAAAATTAAAAGCGAATTTAAGTAGATAAAACGTTAGAAAGAGCAAGATTGAAGCGGAAAGGAGTCCTCGTAAACAAAAATAACGGTTTTTCGGAATAATTTTTGGAAGAAAAGGATCCGAATACAAAACAGGCATATAACTAGGCGCTTTATGGAGGGACAGTGTGGTTTTTGCACGAGGGAAGAGAAAGGATGACAGAAATAGAAAGGCGTAAAAATGTAAGATTGCCTAATTCAAGAGCACGCGAAAATAAGCAAATAAAATAATTGCTCGATTAAAGTTTTTTAAACCACTAGAAGTAAGTTAAAGATTTTCAGCTAAATAATTAACGACTACATTTTTGAAATAAAATGTTTATTTTGAGTGCATTTTGAGAAATTTTCGGCGCTAAAGCTGACACCTTTTTTAAGCATTTTGTTTTGTTTTGGTGATACTAGCTCAACGCCCCTTTCTTCATCTCATTATTTTACCTCTTTTTCGTCATAAAAGCATACAAAATCATACAATTTTTCAAGAGGGCGATACTGGCTTACCCCATCCCCCACTCAAAATTTTGCTGATCTAGTACAATGTGATAGAGCGGGATTTGAAGATTGAGGCATATTTTAAGTTTTGAAATAGATTTTAGTCATTAAGCAATTTATTTTGGTACTTTGGTATTTGGGAGGAACCACTTTTACACACTGAGAATACATTCTGATTATTTGAATTTAACTACAAAGATAGCTTTTAGACGCTTCTTGACCAAAAAGGATCGAATTGAATTGCAAAGTTAGCTTTTGATGTATTACTTATTTAGTTAGCAAGTACATTCCAAAATCAAAGACTTATGATTGACAAGGGAAGGTCAACTGGATAGGCTGGCCAAATGACATGAGCCATCTATTTTCCGACGTAGAAAGAAAAGAAGGCACTAACTTACAAGGTTCAATGAAGTTAGTGTGCTAAGTTTTAGCTGAGCAAATCTTGACAGCAACTAATAAGCACAACAATTGCACAACAACAATTTCAATAATTGGTTTCCTTGGCCTGAGGCTGGGAAAACCCACGCTTAGGTGAGATTTTCAAGGTGAAATCATCAATATTTATTCCATTTTCCAATGCATAATTGACTCCAGAAATATTTCGATCATGAATTTCTGATTCATTATCGAAATCACGATCTGAGGAAATTTGTTTTTGTGAAATAACGCAAATTGTTTTATCAAAGGATTCCCATCAGAAATGAACACATTTCAGGGGAAATGGTTCGCCTCGTCTCCTACAGGACGTCTCCTCTTCTCCTCTCAGCCTCCTTTTATTTGCAAAAGGGGCTCTCAATTCTGATCAATGATTTGTGTTCTTTTCTGTGGACAAAAACCAATAAATCCCATCTTATTCAATCTTCTGAAAACACACAATTGCACATTATCTTTTTCTTTATTTCTGAATTGTTTTTTCAAAATCTCAGATAGAAAGTTTTCCCAAAACCCAGAATTCCGCCTGAAGCTGCAAGTATTTTGCTCTCTCATCTCTCCTGAATAGACTATTAGATAAACGTGTTGAACATCAATGGACATCAGCATGAGGAAACTGACAATTCTTCGTGAAGGTCGCTCTTCTCGTCCCTCAACTCGTCGATTTGTCTTTGAATTATAAATGTCTTTGAAACTATAATTTCCATTAGCTTTTATTTATTTGGTAGCTAGATGTTCATTCAACCCTATTATAAAGGCCCTTTAAGGTCAGTGGGGTTTACGGCTGGTTCTTATTAAAAGCTCTTATTCGTTATTAATTGAATAAAGTATTCACATAATCACAACCCTTTTAAAATTTTTAAAAGACAATCAAAGATTTTACATATCACTTTGCATTTTTTGGTTTTCTGACAGCGGGAATCTCTTTGAAGCTTGAAGCAGCTCCCAAATAAATAGAATGGAATTGTTTTAAAACCGCCCAACTCAACCCTAACTTGAGTGCCGAATTTACGCAAATGAGGCAAGTAATTCTCAGCGGATGACTCTATCATCTGATATCATCTGTCTAAAGAAAAAAAAGTTATGATTTAAAGTGTCAAACACGTGAATGATTCATATTTCTCCCGTAAATCGGTCATAATTGAAGCAGACTTAAGAACTCAAAGAAATATTAACTTCGAATGGCTTTATTTGATAAATAATACCGTTTCAAAGATGTTAATATTCTCTAGATTTTCAGAAAGATTGATGCTGTGGTTTTTGGAAAATTACACTTTAAAAGTTAATAAAACTATGAACTAGCCGGCCAGCCTAATAGACAAAAAAATAAAATAGGCATATAAAAATAGGGTCACCAGTTAATATTTGAAATTTTATGATCATTTCAAATCATTTAAAAAAATATTTAAATTCAATCAGACTCAAAAGCTAGTGACTCAAACAAATGTGTCTGTGAGAAAGCTTTTCCAATGGTAAATTACCCGTAGATTTCCCCATGAAGAATGAAACCCATAAAGATTCGTCAAAAATGAGAACAAAATCTTACAAGTGATTAAAAACCACAAAACCTACTACAATTGAATTCTATGCTGAGATGGCCAAGCCACAACCCAACTGGCCTCGAGATCGAAATTGTTTAACAACAACTTAACACCAAATACAAAGCATCACCTTTTTCCGTGGGATATTCGGTTTTGGATGTCACTTTTGGCGGTCCACCGGCGTCGCACCAGTGCTGTTTTCTTCGTTGTGTTGTCGTCACATATCCACCTGATGTGGCACCCATTTCCACACCGACTCGTCTTACCAATTGCGTGCAAATAGTGGAGTATGGTTGTATGGTCGCAGTCAAATGGCTCTGCAAGCTCCTGATTTGTTTGACATGGATCCGATTCGATAGCGTTCTTCAAACCCATCGTTGTCGACAATTTTTCGACAATTTCTCCACGTCCTCCGTTCTGGCTCTATTGTAGAGACTCCCACCTCATCATCCTGATTTCTCAATACCTCCAGATTTTTGTGATGTTCTTTCCTTGTCTCGAGTTCCCATTTCAGAAATGCTAGATAGCCTGATCGTTGTGCACCATGCCCAATCCGTGATAGAAGAGACGAGCCAAGTGTTGTACATAATACCTTGAATAAATCGAACGGACGGCCATCTCGAATGATGTAGTAGCTGCTCGTAACTCCTCAAATTGGAAAATCGACACTTACGGCTGCTGTTCTGTGTGCTTTTAGAGGATACATTTCTCTCATTTAACTCTTCGATTCTCATTTTTCATTTTTTATTCGGATTTTCATTGTTTCTTGTTAATGTTTGTCGATAAATAAAAGATTTTCCATAGTCCGGCTAAGAATTTGATTTACGAAAATGTTTCCATTTTGAAAATTTTGACTTTTTACAATATGCTTATTTTTTGTGTTTTCTAGGTTTTAAGACATGCTCTTTCCGATAGAAAAGGGAAAGCAGAGTTTTGTTAAGAATTTTCAAGAATGCTTCATGATTCTCGATTGAAAGGCCAATGATTTCTTTTAATTGCCTTTGAAATGAAAAGTTCTTGAGCAGAGGAAAGCCACCGATCTCAACACAAATGTTTATTTCTCCGAAAATTGGACAGAATCTGTATCGAAAATTCTGGGGAATCGATCAAATTCATTTGATAATCTCTTTCGAGGAGCACAACAAATACGGACGATTGGAGAATCAATTTTTCTCAACGAACACCATTACGACTCATCTTTCCAAAAATGATCACATTGAGCCGTTTCAACTGAGATTCGCTGTCATTTGTAAATCGTTATTTACTTAATTCAATTCTACTGTAATGGCAGATGTGAGCCAACTGTTGCCATTGGATGAATAAACAATTGTGAATGCTTAGGAAGATGTAAATGGACTAAAAGGCAAGGTCTCAATCATCCTATGCAAAAACTCATCAATCATTCTCAGCAATGAGCTTCCCACTCTCAAACTTAGTCTGAATATTGGTAAATTATTGAGAAAATCCTTGCGTCCTCATTCTATTTCTTGCCTCAAATCATTGCTGTTTTGTAGTAGTTTTCTTTTTAATCAGAAATCCCTATTCTGCTTGACAACGAATTTCTTGTTTGATTTTGTCTTCTCTCATCAATTCTGCCTCTGCCTCAGCTGTTTCCTTTAATTTTCACTTGTTCCTCGAGAAAATTCAGTCATTTTGTAGGCATCCAATCGTTCAGCAACGGAAATGGACAATCGCTCGAATCCTCCTCCTCGATGTCTTCAGGGCATTCTCTTTTTCCAAATCTCCAGAAATGCCCTGAAATGACTGAAGAATTGCCTGAAAAAGAGTGTCAAAACGCATAGAAGAACCGGCCATCTCGTTGAAGAAAATCGCCCAGCTCGAAGCCGATTTGTGGGTTTTTCGCCAAATGTTTGCTTCTATCAAAAACAGTCTTTAATTTAATCGAAGAGTTTAGGCAAGAAATGAAAAAGGGACAAAGACATCGAGATGAGTCGATGGCAAAGCAAAATCGCTCAAATCGAGGCTGTGAATTTGAAAATCGCGAGGTTGGAGGCCGATTTGGTTGACGAAAGGGGAGAATTGAGAATTGAAAGGAA